AATAGTTAGTTAATAGTAATGTTAGTTAATAAGTTAATATGGTGTAAAAAAACCAGCTGTGTAATAACATAGGACTAAGCTCAGTTGAATTACGTGTCAGTTGCAGTAAGCTAAGAACATACATACAGATGGCTAACAGGGATCCATTGATGGCAATAATTCGTTTGTTGACTGCACCCCAAGAGATTGAGGTGAAGTACAAAAAAAGGGTTAAAAGGTGGATTGCTACACATTAATATGGCTGGTACAGACAGTCTGGTGAACATTGGAGCATGTACATCAATTTCTATTATATTCTAGCAGTTGCAGTCAATATCTCATTGTTTTTAAATTGACTCTATTTATTTGTAAATATTTATTTTGAGATTTTTGTAAAGTCTTGTAGAATAAATGTTAAATCAAAACAGAAGTCGCTTTTCAAGAAAACTTCCCCTGTCAAAAGTTATGGGATATATTTAGCAAGTTAGCAGTCTCCTTTAGGACACTTACAAATGTCAGCTGTAATTTTAATTGTTTTTTCTCTTCAGAGAGACAGAGTTCATTTATTTCATGAAATCTCTGCTGACTCTTAGACTTTCAGATTAATGATACATCCATGCTCATAGTAAAACTATGAAGTGGAAATATTATACTGAACTTCACCATTTTGGCATGTGCAGTCCCATCTGTGTACTCTCCTATTGAACCAGAATAGAAGAGAAAAGAAGTTGTCCAGACACTTTCATTCTGTCTTTTATTCTTGTGCTGAAATATCTTGATTACCATGGCTAAACAGAAAACTATCACTTTTGTATTTTGTTTCAAACAGGTTCTCAATTCAAGTTGCTGCAACAGCAGAGAATTGTCTTCTTACTTTATACCCATATTTGGCATTTCACCGCTCTGATCAACAAATTAGCTTGAGAAGCAGTAAGCAGTCAACATTCTACCTCTTAAAATTATATTATGTCCAGTAGTGTTATCAATGTTTTCAGTGAGATAACAGGGATGTTATCTTCAAGGTAGTATTTTTTCTCATTAATTACAAGGGGATACTGCAATTGAATTTTTAAAACAGTTTAATAGCTTCTGTTTTCTTGTTGAAAATGGGGAAAACTTACATAAATGATTAGGTAATGTTTATTGAAAAATATTGGACGAGCCTAAATCTTACAGAATGTTTTGTGAAGTGTTTTAAACTATGAGTAGAGAAAACAGCTCAAACAATAGAGAATAAATTAAGATAATTTAAATTATATTGATAGAGTGATCATCAATAATTCCTAGGACAACAGTTGGATATGTTTTGAAGAAAGCAAAAGAGAAGAAAGCCATATGATGTTATGATATAATGTGAACATAGTTTGCCTGTTGGGAATAATTTTCAGGTTTTTTTAATTACTGTTCTTGAAGGCTGAAGAGCGTAGCCATATTTTAAGCCCTAATAAAAGCCTGCAATCAGAGACTAGAAATATTTTTATCTGCAGTGTGTCTCTCTGCTTGCCTCTCTTTCTCTACATCTCTCCCTGTGTTCCCCTGCCCTCAGCCCCATCTCTGCCTGCTTCCTGCCCCCCCACTTTCTACCTGCCTCAATGATCTGTAATCTCTTTATATGTAGCTGTGCTTATGGGAAGAGATTAGGATCATTGTATAATTCCGGTTGGAAGGGCTCTCTGGGGATCATCTAGTCCAACCTCCTGCTCAAAGCAGGGTAAATTACTATATTTTTTATAGTTTTGGGGATCTGATATATTTTGATGAAATAAACAAGTTTTTCAAGTAAGCAAGTCATTCCTTAGGTCTGAAATAGATTTAGCTTTGAAGACTGTGAATTCTAAGATGACATTAACTTAAAATAAGTATGTTACTTGGACTATCTAAGAGAAAAGAGAGTTGGTACTTGTGAAGCTGAGAAGGGGATTAGGAAGAAGACAGGTCATTTATTTATTTATTTACTTTTTCACATAGAAGGTAGGTATAGGTACCATATCATTCATGGATCATAGCACAATAAAATGAAGAAAGGAAAGGGGGAAAAGTATTCTCTCTTGTAAATGTGTAGTGGGTTTGGTGTGGTGGTGTTTTTTTTTTTTTTTTTTTTGGTGACCAATAGATTGTTTTTGCAAGCTTCTCCTTTGAAGATGCTTTGTAGGTTTCCCTTGAGGTTTAAGCCAGAAATAGAGTGATGGTTTCAAAAGAACTGATCTCCCATCGATAATGGGATAGTTCTGTCCTGTATTGATTGCTTATTGGTTTGTTTACACTATCAGTTTATACCAGTTTTGAAGCAAGTCAATACTGCTAAATTCCTTGAGTCTATTTTATGTGGTTTTGTATAGACTACTTTGGTGTGGAATGCTGCTTAATGTGAACAAGCCACATCTATACAATACAGTGGCTTTGAAAGCTATTCAGGGAAGGCTTTGCTTCCACTTACCTGACACCATGCTTTTGTGTTATTTGCTCCAAACCATAAAAATAACAGTGCCAGCAATCAAAAATTTAAGAAAGTCACACAGAGTTCTTCCTTCTCTTACTGGTGTGTTTACTTCTTTAGCAACTACACTGAATTCCTCTTCTACTCTTGTTCTGCAGACTGACATTACCGATAGCTGGCAGCGGTCCTCTAATCCTATCATAGGCCAAAATGAGAATGTCAGAACATATGTTCTGGCAAAACTGATGGATTGATAAAGCATACTTTTGAGTTTGGTTTGTAAAACATGTGTTGTTGAGTCTGAAAGAGCTTGAGAATGGTATGGTAAGAGTCATTACAGAGCTGTGATCAAAAATTCCTTAAGAATATTTTGTTCATCACTTAGAATTCTTGAATTAGTGCTGTTTGGATAGGTACTTTTCAGCAAGTGTGAAGACCCATCCTGTAAAACATACAGTTAATGGAAAAAAATATGCGGGTAGTTTTTTTTCTTTTTTTTTTTTCCCCTGGTCTAATGACCTAACTGAGATTTTCATTGTGAGTCAAATGAGAACTTTTACTTGATTAATTGAAGCACGAAATAGAAAAATATAGAAGCAGATATCTGTTTATAAACTGTTAGAGCACAGACAATAAAATATGTTTTCTCAACTGCAGCTTGTAATCTCGTTTTATAGACACTAAAGACTGCAGTAGTGGAGAAGTTGTTCTGCATCCAGGTTGCACTCCACAATCACTTTCCCACGGTATTTCCTCAAGTTCCTTTGGTGCAACCACTGACACAACCTATGAAGATTCTCAATCAGGTATAGTGCAGCTGTTCACTTTAAACACTTTGAGCTCTCACAACTGCTTCCCACTTAATGCTTTATACAGAGATATGTTTTACATTTGTAAGCTTTGCCTGAAATGCTTCTGCACATATAATCAATGAATACTGGGGAGGCTGTCCTCTCCTGTGACACCATGGGAAACCTGCCTTAGAGTATAGAAGCAGAAAAAACTCTCCTTCCTTTTAGCAGACTAAGTGGAAGGGAAATCAGTCAAACTATTAAAAAAACCCCCACAAACCAAACCCCCCAAACCCCCACCAAAACCAAAACCAAAAAATGTCAAGGTCCTATTTGCAATAACATGTCCATGGAGGAGCCAGCAGAAAAATAACTACTGAACAAACCTAAGAGATTAGTTGCTAAGAAGGGCATTGTTTCTGTAGTCATGAAATAACCAACCATATATGCTCTGTTAGTATGCTATATTCTGAAAAGGTCTACCTGTACACTCAGGTTAGACTTTGACATTTTTATTGCATTTATGAAGTACTGTATAAAAACAACCATTGTCAGTGGGACTCAGTTAAGGTGCAGTTCCATAAGAACTGAGAGTAATAGATCTTCTATAAAGTTGTCAGGTGACTAGTATCTGAGGCTGTTGACATCTTTCGTCTTTCAGCTGGTAGTTTTCGAACTGGGAAGTTAGAACAGCAGAAATCACTGCTGCTGTTTTATCACTGTTAGGATTCCACTCTTGCAGATCTGCTGATTTTCGTGTGATCATTCTCTAAGGTACTGCCAAGACAAATAAGGGTAGTTAAACAGATTAAATAGTAGCTCTTTACCAACATGATTCATTTTTAATGGAATGATGTAAGAAGAGTTCAAAAGGGCAACTCAGTTTCAGATCTGAAGAGGCAATAACCTCTGGCAAAGGTGGCAGTGACAAGATGGGGAAAGTAATCTTGTCAGCTGGCAGAACTGCACAAACTCAGATCTGACTGCATGATGATCTCATAAAGGATGAGTCTCTTTTCTCCATATTGTATTGTTTTTCCTTCTTAAATCCTAACAAGATTTTTTTGTTTTATTCACTAAGGTATTATTTTTATTTTTTGCATCACTTAATGAAACACTACAACTGCAACAGTCGTATTAAAATACACCTTCAAGGATGGAATCATCTAAGTTATTTGTTCTATGAAGAAAAGTGTTGTTTGTTTTCTTAGTTATCTTTTGTGCGATAATATTGTTGTTGATGTTATTCACAACTAGTAGTTGTTAAAATATATTTATCTAAGTTTTGACCAGGTCAGAATTTACGAGAGAGAAGGCCTGACAGAGGGGAGAAAAGTCCAAAGGCGTATAGGTCAGGATGTAGGCTTAGTTATGCAATATGTGATAAACTGTTTGAACACAAGTCAGTTACTGAGCCATGCTGTGTGACTGAGGTGGTGAACTAGCATTGACTAGCTGGTAAAGCTATACCTACTGCAACTGTATGTAAGACTGTTTCTTTAAGATTGCTGTCTGTGTTTTTGTAAGCCATGCCTGAATTTATATTTTCTGATTGGGTAGTAATTTCTTCTTTAAGTGAAATTAGATACCAAGAATACAGTTTGTTTTATTCCCAACATGTGCATGTCACTTAAATTGTTTACTCCTGAAATAAGTTGATAATTCATTGTCTGTTTTTTGTTTTCAGAAAACAATTGTGTGTTAAAAAAAAAAACCAACTGTTTTTGTACTTGACAGAAATAGGGAAATAAGGAATGTTTCTGGATTTTTTTTTTTGTGTGTGTATCATTCAGAGTCGGATACTACTTTTGAAAGTGAGAGTGATGAAAACATGAGTGAGGAGAGTGAAGCTGACAGTCAAAGTGATGGGAGAGAAAATAAATTTGAATTATCATTTTTTCCTGAAGAAGATAAAGAGGAGTACATCTTCTTTCAGAAAACCCTAACTGCTGTTAAGAATTGGTTCACTCTCTTTGGTTGGTCTAAGGGACAAAATCCTATTTCAATACCATATTCACTAAGACGGTAATTCATATCTGCTTAGAGCTAACTTATATCTGCCTAATAAAATGTTAACATATATACTAAAATGTTTTGGATATGATCTGAGGAATATAAACACACTCTAATGCACAGTTGCATATTAAAATTGTAGCATCTATGTGCTGTTTATATGAAAATGTCATTCAGGTGTTATTTTTCATTTTCTAAAATATATTTCCAACTATGATGCTCTGATGTATCATAATGCAGTGTATGTTAAATATGCAGTTCAACCTATATGTCACCCTCTTAGCTGAAATTGATTCTTCTCCCAGAATGAACACAGTTCTAGCAATTTTTCGTTCTTTGGTGGCATAAATAAATGTTTTAACAATATTTCTTTCTTCCCCCCCCACATACTGTGAAGATCAAGAAACAGATGGGAAAGCAAATTTCATAATCAACAGTCTTGCAAACACCCTGGAAATAGATCAGTCTTAGTGGCATCACTTAGTTGATCTTATCTAGCTCGCTACTAAATAATGAAGCAGCCAGTCTCCTGGGACACAAACACATAGGCATTTATTAACATGATAGAAATCAGAGTTATGTTTGGCAGAAAGCAGTGACAAACACAAATTTATTTATGAAATATTTCACATATACTTCTTAAATATTGCATGTAGTTTGAAATTCTTACATTATTATGAAAGTTCTGTAAAAAGCAGAGTGCTATACTTTTCAACCTTCTTGCTGCTGTTTTTACTTCATGGTTTATTAAATTTATCATCGTGATATATATAATGTTAGCTTATTTTGTGCATTTAAAAGAATAATATCAGAAGCTTTTTTTTCTTAGTGATGTGTGTAAAGTCCAGATGACCTCTTCGCAAGAAAAGGTTTTTAAACAAAACCTTGGCAAAGATACTAAGACTGTTTATGACATGTTATTCCATCTGAGTGGACAGTTGTTACCAGGCGTTACATCGAGCCAATCGTTGCCCCTTGATCCAGTTGAACGAATGTTACAGCTCCACCGGCAGCATTCTGCATTGCTTGCTTTCCTTAGGTAAGTACCTGTATGATAAAATATGTATGCATATGCATGTATCTTTTCTTTCCACTTTTTTTATTAGCATAGTTCAAACATAATTCCACTGAACAATATGCAGTAGCTTTAGGGTTTCTTTTATACTATAACTATTGTGATCTAAGATTTATGTATTATAAACTTTAATTAACTTTTATCAGGTTTACCCTCTGCAGTTTATACTAATTGAGGAGTCCTTTGGTAGGGCTATATCCAACACAGGAATTCCACAGGAACTCTGCTCCCTTAAATATGAAAGATGACGACTCAACCTCATTCCTCAGACAGACTCAGTAGATAGCCAGATCAGGTTTGCCATTAATGATCTTACCATTCACTGATGCTCTTTGTCCTGTAATTACTGGCTTTTGCAAGAATTTTGTAGACTTACTTTGTAATCTGTAGGTCTTTTATACTAATAATGTGCCAAGAAATAGAAGCACTGTTCCTGTTGCTGAACAGATTTAGCTATTAGCTACCTTCACTGATAATCTTATCTTGTCATATAATATGGAACAACTGTCAAAGATGGTGCAAATCAAAAAAGGTTAATAAATTCTTCTTCATCCTTCTTGGCTGTTGCTGCTGTGAAAGAGAGAAGAAAATTAACTTCAGAGAAAGTCTAATGTCATGAGATCCTTCGAGATCATCAGAAGCCCTGAAAGACAGCATCTCTGCTTCTTTTCAGCATCCTCACCTAGTATTCAGGAGGCTGTAAAGCCATTTAAAAACTGTTATTTACATACTGTTCTAAATACAAGCTTTCTATTTAAGAATAGCAGACAGTGATACAGTTGTATTTGAATTCATAATGAGGCCAATGCACACTGCTCCAACAACACTGGCCTTTTATTTGCAACTTTCATCCATGTCATTTTTATTAAAAAACAGGCAGAGTAGCATTCTTCTGTGCATCAAAGATAATATTGTGGCAGGTGATTTGGAGGAGCCATTGCAGCAGTGGCAGAACCAAAATAATTTCTCATTGGGTGACAGTGATACCTACCATCAGTCATCCTCCAAGTTTGAGTGCGCCACCCAATATCTTTGAGTATACCAGAAAGCCTTCTTGGTTGTTACCAGCTCTGGGAAACACTTCTTCACCCTGATTGTGTCAGGTGGCTTGGGCAGACAAGGTAAATTCTTAGCACTTTTTGAATTTGGATACAGTGGTGCATATGCTGTGAAGCTGGCAGTATACTTTTTAATATGACCCGGTTTACTGAGTCATTGCACCTGAGAGAGAGATGGAATGTCTCTATACATGATTTATCTCAAGTTTGTTTATTGTAAAATGCAAATAAAAACATTTATTCATAACATTGAAAATGAACAATGCAAGTGGAAATATTTCTTCAATATGTAGGTGAAAAAATGAAAGAATGTCATTAATCTGCTTAAATTAAGTTTCTACCAGAAAGGTCTTCCAAAATACCTTATTTTGTTTATATTCTGCCAGCTTCTGGCAAGGAGGCAGTCAGGTTTCTGTACTTTTGCATATCTTATGCTTAAAGTTACCCCTAACAAAGTCTGTTCAGGAACTTCTATCAAAATATTCATTCACAGAAGTTTCCTTAGAGTTTTCATGGGATGCTTTTGGAGCACTCCTAGATAGGGTCAAAATTTTCTCCTGGTGGAGCCTGATGGCTCTTATGTCCAGTCTTCCCATTGAAATTTTCCAGGGAATCTAGGTGTCTTGAAACTAACGTACATGATATTGCATAATTTAAAATGGTGATGAGTTTTGGGGTAAATGAATCCCAACCCCTTTTGCTAAGCTAATTGGAAAGAAATACTGAAGAGTTTCTAAGGTAGTTTCTTGGGCAATTTGGAAAGCTATTTAATAGCTAAGTTTTAATAAAAGCCTTCAGTCTTACTGAGTTTTGTCTGTTAACTCTCTGACATATTCAGAGCAGAATTGGAGCAGCAGCCAGTTGGTCAAAGCTAAGTTCAGTGCCTCTGGACACAGATACATCGATGACTGATGATTGACAAGGTCTGATGATTGGAAATGAAGTAGTAATCCATAACAACCCTAGAAAAATGGTACAAGGTGCCATAGAAAAGCAGTTCTAGCTGGACTCCTGTGCTTATATATATTTGATTGTAGATGATTAAATTGGTGCTCAGTATGTGCTTAGCATTACCACATCCTGTTAGTTTCTGCCTCTTCTAGTTTGTGTGAATCCCATCAGATTTCTTCATTGTTCTTGATTTATGTATATTCTTTTCCTACTTGTGCATTTTAGGATCACCTAGAATATTTGCATTTCTTCACAGATTGTTATTTAAGAATGTTTATAGATCACAGTACAAAAATGTCTGATATCTGCGCTGCTGGCATGACTGTTTGTAGTGATGGTAAGACATCCACAGCCAGCCTAGATATGAGTAATTAATCCGTGATCTGCTATCCCTGTATGTTCATTGTGATTTGTGGAAAGTGCAAATTCCCTCCTGAAACCCAGGAGGACACTCTGAGATTAGAAACATACAGTTCTTGGCTTTCTTCCCCCAACCAGTACTTTCTGGTCAGCATGGTTGAAATAAAGCATAATTCATCGTTCAAATTTTCCATTTGCTAAAGCAGGTGGATGTTGTTCACTGTTTCAAGCAACATTCCAAGTATCAGTTTTATTCTCTGTCCCTCAAAAGGTTTCCTGGGTGCATTAGCACAGTAGTAAAGGAAAAGTTTTGGTATTTTACAATACAACTAACTAATTTGTTCCAAGCTGTGTGTCTTGAGGAAAAACATCTTAACAGTGTGAAAATATTGATGTTGGAGAACTGGCATAATTTTAAATATTGACCTTAATGAGGAGGAATTTAAGACAGTGTTCCTCAGTAACAAAAATGCAGCTGATTCTGAAAGCATTCAGTTATATAGAACCCATCATTGCTATGATGACACGTAATGTTCTTATATAGCTTTTCTGAAGATGAAAATTGTAGGTTACACCTATTCCCATATATCTACCAAATAAAAACATTGAAAGAAAGATAGGACACCTGCAAAGATGAATGTTGTATAGCTTCCTTCTTTTATTATTTGGGAAGAACTGAAGTTTTAGAGGGATTTCATGGGACAGAGTCTATGACTTAATGGAAAATGGGAATTTCAGACATGGTAAGTTTTAGAACCAGACTACTAATTTGATGCTCTTTTGGGTCCTTGATTAAAATATTTGTCTTTTAAAAAACATGCTAGATAATTGTATGAAACATGAAATTTCAATAATCTGAGAAGATAATGCCAGTATGTAAAATATGAAGACAAAAAATGTGTTGTTACCAGCAAAATATAATTCTGTGGGAAGAGAAATAAGTTGTCATGATTCTAATTTCAAACTGCGATGTATGACTTCTAACGTACAAATTAAATTGAATTTGGACTGTATGATACCGGAAAAGTATGATCACTTCATTTGAATGAGAGACTGGTTATATAAAAAGAAAAGTTTATCTGATCATTATTCACATTAGCCATATTAAAAACACCAGAGAACAATGTAAATCTAGATACACTAGGATAATCTTTCTGACCTAAAAGTTAGGAAACTTTTCTGCTCCCCTGAGAAAAATAAACTTAAGAATTCTTCATTATTTTCCCCTTTCCAGCAACATTTGTTTAAAATGTGTCATTTGAGGCAAAGACTATTCTTTCTTCATTTGGAAGTTAGCTTTTTTTGGTATTCAGTCTAATGAAGTTGCCTTTTGTTACTGCAATTACTTTTGCTATTGTATTTATTAGTCACTTGAGAGCAGATGGCAGGTCGGTTTAACAATTAACAGAGTTTTGAAATACCTTTGCTTACAGCCATAAGACTTCCAATATCAGATCAGCAGACAGATAAAAACATCATCAAGTTTTAATTCTACTAATGTTAGTTATGCTGGTCCTTTGGCTTTCACGTGGAAATGGGTATTGTGTGTTTTGATGCTTTGTGCTATAATAAACCCTTTACAGAGGAGCAATTCTCATAAAGAAGCCAGTCTGTCCAGAGTTGTATGTGCTTTTAGCATTTAGTTGTAGGCATAGAAATTGAACATGAACTTCATAAATAGAAGCTATCTAAAGCAATTAGTAGAACTGGATCATTAGTCCAAAGTGTACTCAGAACTCTGAAGAGCTTACACATAGGTTAAGCAAGTTGAAAAACTTGGACTGCTCTTAAAAAGAATTATTTTGCTTACCTATTAACTTTTCCTGCTTTATGATTTCAGAAGCCAAGGAGCATATCTTCCTCATGTTATGCCAGAATTTCTGCTTGAACCTGATGATTATAAGAAATGGATTAAAGCGCAAACTGTAGTGAAGGTAGGTTTGGGTTATTTTTGTGTGTGTTTATTTTGTTTCCTTTTTTCTTCTTTTTGTAACAAAGACCACATGCTTAGTGTCAGTCCTTTGAAGACGAATGGAACTTCTCCGTGGACCGTGAGTATTCCTATTGTGGTGACTGTTTCAGATTGCATAAATCTAAGCACATGCATGAGATTGAACAGAAATTTAAACTGACACCAACTTTTACACCCTTCTCCCCTGTTTTTTCTCTTCCATTCCTTCTGAGACTACTGATACCTTTGATTAATTTCCAACAGATATGTTTTCTCAAAGTAGAATTAATTTTACTGCTTTATGCTGGTTTTGCCATTTAAAAAAAAATATTCTATGTGTTGTCTCTCTGTCCTGATTGCTGCTTTCAACTCCTGTCAATTCCGTATTGTGCTTATTCCTGAGATAGCAGGAAACTGGAAATGGTTCTAATGCTGATCACTATTGCACTATAGTAGATGTTATTAGTTAGTTATGTCATTGATTCATTATTGTCATCTTGTGAATTTCCTATCCAAACTACTGAAATGAATATCAAAAATAAATCCCATTCCTTTATTTGAAGGGTCACACAGATGAGTTGAAAAAAGGAGATGTGAAAAACTCAGACATATTTAGCAACAAGCATCTATTCATTCTGGAGGACAGCATATTTGAGACAATGAGCAAACGAGCTTGGACAGATGTGCTGCTGCAGGTATACAAGGTAAATTGTAAATACATTTGCTACTTAAGTTCTGAAGAACTGATGGCAAAAAAATTTGTTTTGAACAAGATATGTGGTATATTCAAGTTTTTTTTTTCCAAACCGTTCTTTAAAACTAAATACTTTTAAGTATTTTATTTCTCTCTAACAGAGAAGAAAAAGAATGAATGAGAACATTTTCATTTTCTTAGTTCTGAAACTTTAGTAGTGTGTTAATATGTTTCAATTAAGAAATGCTATGTTAGAACAGTCTGCATTTTGTACGATTAAATGTTACAGAAATCTTACAAATAAAGAAAACTCTTCCACGCTTTTTTGTTACCCTGGTTAGAAGCACTTTTCACTGGAAATACTTAGTTGATTAGACATATACCCAACCATGGTATTTATTATCTTATATTAGAATGGAATTTTTAAACAGGTAAGCTTTTTTATAATACCTATTCCTTTTAAGAAATAATGAACTTGGTCAGTATGGATTTCTCAAACTTTATTAAATTTTCTTTTTACTGATGTTACATAAACACTTTGGATGTCTAAATTATGTTTTCCAAAGTAAACCTGATGTGCTCACCAATGATCAGTAATGTTTGTATGCCTAAAAATAAATATTTACTTATTTCTATAAAAAGGAATGGAGAATAAATGGAAAAAAAAAATTATCTGGGCTTCCCAGTACAAGAAAGACATGGACATACTGGAGTGTGTATCCAGTGAAGGTTCCCAAAGTTGATTTAAGAGACTGGAGCATCTATCATACAGAGAGAAACTGAGAGAGCTGAGATGGTTCAGCCAGGAGAAGAGAAGTTTCAAGAGGGATTTTATCAATGTGTGTAAATATTGGATGGGAGGGTGTGAAGAAGACAGTGCCAGGCTCTTCTCGGTAGTGCCCAGTGACATGGTGAGAGGCTGTAGGCACAAACTGAAATACAAGAAATCTGTATTGGTTTTATGTGGCAAGGTTTTGGTAGCGGGGGGGGTTACAGGGGTGGCTCCTGTAAGAAGCTGCTGGAAGCTTCCCCTGGGTTCGAGAGAGAGCGAGCCCATACCAGCCGGCTCTAAGACGGACCCGCTGCCGGCCAAGGCCGAGCCAAACAGTGATAGTGGTAACGCCTCTGTGATAACATTTTTAAGAAGGAAAAAAAAGTTGGGATGGAGAGAAAACAGCCACCGGAGAGAGGAGTGAGAACATGTAAGAGAAACAAGCCTGCGGACACCAAGGTCAGTGCAGAAGGAGGGGGAGGAGATGCTCCAGGCACCGGAGCGAAGATTCCCCTGCAGCCCGTGGTGAAGACCCTGGTGAGGCAGGCTGTCCCCCTGCAGCCCAGGGAGGTCCACGGTGGGGCAGATATCCACCTGCAGCCCATGGAGGACCCCACGCCGGAGCAGGTGGGTTCCCGAAGGAGGCTGTGACCCTGTGGGAACCCTGCGCTGGAGCAGGTTCCTGGCAGGACCTGCGGATCTGTGGAGAGAGGAGCCCACGGAGCAGGTTTTCTGGCAGGACTTGTGACCCCGTGGGGGACCCACGCTGGAGCAGTGTGCTCCTGAAGGACTGCACACCGTGGAAAGGACCCATGCTGGAGCAGTTCGTGAAGAACTGCAGCCCGTGGGAGTGGCCCATGTTGGAGAAAGTTCATGGAGGACTGTCTCCCGTGGGTGGGACCCCACGCTGGAGCAGGGGAAGAGTGTGATGACCCCCCCATTTCCCGTCCCCTTGTGCTGCTCGGAGGGAGGGGTTAGAGAAATCGGGAGTAAATTTGAGCCCAGGAAGGTGTTTTAAGATTGTTCTTATTTCTTATTGTCCTACTCTGATTTAGATTGGCAATAAATTTAATTTCCCCAAGCTGAGTCTTTTTTGCCCATGACTTATGCTAGAATTAGTGGAGCAGGATGATGGTTCCAAATAGATCTTTCATCTCTCTGACCATTGGTGTAGACACAAGAATAGGATAGAACACATGGTTGCTGGGGATATGAAAAAATTCAGGTTTAGATGAGTTTAAAGCTGTTGTGAAGGTGTGCTTTTCATCATTCTAGTTCTGTTTCATGCATGAGGAGCATATTTTGGCTTCTCATTCATTGTTCCATCATCTTTCTATCCTATAATAGTACACTTTTACAGCCTTATAACATCACATGCCTCTTCTCTGTCTCTCCTGCCAATGTCTTAGGAATTATACATCTCTGCTTTGCTTTTTTGTGGTAGCCTCATGCAGTTTGGCTAACATGGTATTCAATTCAGTATAAAAAAGCATAAAGAGAACTGTTAAGATAACATGACTTTACATTGGAACTAGTCACTTAACCTTGAAAGTCCTGTTCACTCTTCCAGACCCATTTGTTCAAACCCATTTTTGACAAGGGTGACATGACTGCTGGTGAACAAGGTTTATGTATTTATTTTATTAAATTTGTAAAGGAAGTATGGGAATGATAAAGAAAAACAGGATATGAACTGCCAAGACAGCAAGATCAGTTTATATGAAAAATATTTGTTTGGTCTAGTGTTCAAATATTCTGAAGTTAAGAGAATGTTTCATATCTTAAAAGCAGTTTCATTAAAAGGAAAGTAGAGACAAGCCTTTTTGTGATTACGATAGCTTGATTTCAAGCAAGGTAAGATGGAACAGAATCCTTTCTTACTCACATAGCATGCTGCAAATTTCAGAAAATGTTAAAAGAATTCATCTCTTCCCCAGACATGTTTTGTTATCCAATTTTATTTTAGAAATAAAATGTTGTTATTAGAAATACTTAATATTATTCTTTATCAACTAAAATGTCATCCCATATTGCTTTCTTGCCCATACCTGATGCATTATGGTCCACTTATGAAAACTTCTGTTGCTGCAGAAGTTCCAGAGGAAAAAATGTATACATAAATCCAGCTCAGGAAAATAGAAAATGAAGTTTATTCTGAAGAAAGGCTAGAACCTGTGGCGAATAAAAGGGGGAATTCATCATTTGTAAAGATATACTTTTAGTCCTTTTTTTGAGCAAGGGCTAAAATACTAATGGTATTCCACAAATCTTGCAAGTCTAGTCTAATGGAAATACATGGACGCTGGCAGCAGAAGTAGTAATTTAGCCCTTGATTCAGGCTGGATTTTCAATAAAGACAATTTATCTTTGAATTTAACGAGCATGTAGTAATAAGGATGGTTTTTCTAGTTATAAGTAATAACATTTCCTATCCTAATAGCTGATTTTTTTGTTGTTGTTGTTTAAATAAATACAGTGTGCTCCAAAAAGACACTGTATGCTAATGTCCTGGTCCCTCAACAGGGTCTCAATAGGAATGTAGACATGTGGGCATCTTGGGTTAGGATGGATTGGACTTTTCTTGTTAAGAGAGAGTAAAAGAATGTTTTATGGGTAAATAATGTTTTATTTTTTCTTCTAAATGTAGTTGCCATTACTCTTTCCTGTTTTGATCCTTTTGATAGAACATCAGGTTATACTGATGAAGGAATGTTGCAATAAATTAACTTGCAAAGAAACTGCCTTTTGAGAAAACATGAAATAGTATATATTTGATGGCTTTTTTTGCTATTGTTTTCTTCAAATTTATATCTGAGGATGCTGTTATAAAAGTTTGAGATTTCTTTTTCTCTTAAGATAGTTCTATGCAAATCAGTGAAGTGCCGTGGAGAGAAATCCAAATATTTAAATTAAGTTAGCTCAGCCTTCTCTGCATAGAACTAGGTTATGCTGAACTGAAATGCTTCAGGGTTTAAAAAGGAATTTCAAAGTAACTCAATTTTTTAAAAAAACTGTAATTAAATATGGGTGCTATAATTTAGGTCTCGTGCATATTAATAGTTAAGTAGGTTTTATATATTAGTATGTCATAAAAGGTTTTCTTCAGAAAAACTTGAAAGCAATGGATGAGAGTCCTTCATGTTATCTGGAAAAAAAAGAAGTCTAGATGTAAATGTGGAAGCTGTGAAGTGACATGGCTGTAGCTGCATCATACTATATGTAAGAGTGTTCCTCTCTGTCTGCAGCAAATGGAGGGATTATAAGGTTTTAACACTGCCTCAAGAAATTGATGCTTTTTCTAATGTACCTGTTAAAATCTGGTATTGGAAAGCAATATGAAGAGAAATAATTATAAAAGGGGTGCAAGCTGTTTTCATTCTGATGAGATGAAATGAAATGGCATAGCTTTTTCTTTACGTATATATGTATCAGGGAATTAGACATCACTGGGAATGTTTAAGGGAGTGAGAAACTGGGCCCAATTCACACTTCAAAATAACATTTTACTGGATTGAGATTCATTGTCGATAGACGTTGATGATTAGTTGTTAGTTTTTTTTTTTCTTTCTTCTTTTTTTCCTCCTTCAAACAATTAGTCCTTAACAAATTTATCCTAAATTATCTGTGAATATATGACACTGTGGAGATGATGCAGTGTAGTTAGCATTTATGGCCATGGTCCTTGATAGTCTTAGTCACCGGTCAAGGTGGTCAGGCCTGAGACCTCTTTGATGAGGGAGGATGGAACCAAAGCTGTTGACTTCATTGTCATCCTGAAAATCAAGTTCTGTGTTCTTCCTTGAAACACCTTTTTCTGTGCTGTCATTTCAGTTGGCAGGGGGGGGATCAAAGGTACTGTGTAGAATTTTTGCTTTTAACTTCTTTATATTTCTGATATTTTATATACATATGTTTATATATTTTTTTTTTTAAATGTACATTCATGCAAGACTTAATCAAGGACCTCTGAGTACGAAGAATTTTATTGCAGGTATTTTAACGTTTATTTTTTCAGGAGAAACAGTGTAATTTGGGCCTAAATGAGCAATTGGGTCATGAAAGATACCTTTTCAAGATTGTCTATAGATTGCACTGGACATCAGTATAGTAGTTCAGTAATTAGTGCTTTGGATAGAATATACACAGTAATTCTTGGAATCCAGATGGGTCCAGTGATTTCATCCAGTTCATCAAAACTTGGAAAAAAATATTTAGAATAATAGAATCATAGAATACCTTAAGTTGGAATAGACCTATGAGGATCATTGAGTCCAACTCCCTGCTCCTCACAGGACTAGCTAAAACTAAGCCATATGACTAAAAGCGTCATCCAAATGCTCCTTGAACTCTGACAGGCTTGGTGCTGTGACCACTTCCCTGGGGAGCCTGTTCCAGTGACTGATCACCCCTCTCCATGAAGAACCTTTTCCTCATGTCCGATCTGAACTTCCCCTGATGGAGCTTCATTCCCTGTCCTCGTGTCCTATCACTGGTCACCAGAGAGAGGAGATCAACACCTCCCTCTCCGCTTCCCCCCTTGAGGAAGCCGTAGACTGCGATGAGGTCACCTCTCAGCCTTCTCTTCTCCAAGCTGAACAAAGTGACCTCAGCCACACCTGTAAGTCTTGCCCTTGAGGCCCTTCACCATCTTGGTCGCCCTCCTCTGGACACTAATAATTTGATGTCTGTCTTATACTGCGGTGCCCAAAACTGCACACAGTACTTGAAGTGGGGCCGCACCAGTGCAGTGTAGAGTGGGACAATCACCTCCCTCGACCAGTTAGCGATGCTGTGCCTGATGCACCCCAGGACACAGTTGGCCCTTTTGGCTGCCAAGGCACACTGTTGACTCATGTTCAGCTTGCCATCAACCCAAACCCCTAGATCTCTTTCTGCAGGGCTGCTTTCCAGCCTCTTGTCCCCCAGTTTGTACGTATAACCAGGATTACCCTGTCCCAAGTGCAGAATCTGGCACTTGCTCTTGTTAAATTTCATATAGCTGGTGATTGCCCACCTCTCTAGTCTATCCAGATCTCTCTGTAAGGCCTCTCTACCCTCAAAGGAGTCCACAGTTATTCCTAATTTCGTATCATCAGCAAACGTAATGTACATTTGATTCCTGTGTCCAGATCATTTATACAAACACTAAAGAGCACCTGCCCTAAAATTGAGCCCTGGGCCAACCCCACTAGTGACTGGCTGCCAGCCTGATGTAACCCCATTTTACTATAACTCTTGGAGTCTGACCCATCAGCCAATCGTTCACCCGTTTTATTATGGGCTTGTCTAGGTGTATGCAGGATGTTTTATCCAGAAGGATACTGTGAGAGACAGCATCAAAAGCTTTGCTAAAATCCCCAAACCCCACATCTACTGGCTTCCCTTGGGTCAACTAGATGGATGACCTTCGCGTAAAAGGAAATTAAGTTGTGAAACCATGCTGGCTATGACTAGTGACTGCACTGTCTCTCAAGTGTTTTTCAACAACTCCCAGAATAATGTTCTCCATAATTTTACCAGGCACTGAAGTGAGATTGACAGGGCTGTAATTACCAGGGCCTTCCTTCTTTCCCTTCTTGAAAATTGGGACATTTGCCAGTTTCCAGTCAACTGGGACCTCTCCAGACTCCCAAGAGCATGTGGAAGCTTCAACTTGCATTTTGTGTAAGGAAGCAAAGGAATTCCCTAAAACCTCAGCAAATCTGTTCTCTTGTGTGTTATACATTTATGCTAATGTATAATCTATTAAGCCTTTTCTAAATTAGAAAGCTGTTTGAGTTTGAAGTGGTTTTTTTTTATCATTTAACTTGAAATTGTTCTTTTTATAGTTCATGCTTAAAACCAGTTTTTCTTATTTCAGGTATTTGTTCTTCCACGTGTTTCTTCGTGTAGTATCACTGACCTGTTCAGCTTGGAAAGTGTGCAGAACATGCCAAGAATAAAATCAGAACCTTTATCCAGTAATATATATTCTCCTTATGAACGAACCATCCTCACCTGGTTGAATAAACATTATGAGGAGAATCGAAGAACTGTGTGGAAAGATTGTCAAAAAGGTGAAATAATTCTTTCACTATGCTCTTCCTTCCTAAAATACTCCTTTTTTAGACTTTTAAAATTGTTATTCATAGAGATACCATGACAACTTGCCACTGGAAGTATTTTGGGGGGGATAAGTTATTGCCTACCTGTACGTATTTCCTTTTCTTGTCTTTCTGTGTTCCAAGGTAAGTGTCTTTTGACTAGCACTGTTCATGAAATATCTTCTGTGTTCTGTGTGTTCTTATAGTTTCTAAATAGGCATAAAAGGTGAAATGTGGTGAACCTTCTCACTTCTTTCCATTAATGATCTCAGGAAGGGACTGCTAACAGTAATCACTTTCTCTTCATTTTGCTGTTAATAGTCGCATGCAGATGTTAGTATTTATGCTTATAATGGTGCATTTGAGAGCTAGCTTTTCAGAATTCTTAGAATAAATTTTGTATTGTCTTTATTCTAATGCCATTTAGGAAGGTAATGGAGACCAAGGTTCTAGATTATAAATCTTGTCCTACTTGCAAGGTCAGTTTGCCTCATGATCACTTGAGTAAGGTTAGACAAAATGACCTGTTCCATTTAAGATGGACCCAGGCAGTTCTGGTACTCAAATCTGATAAAGCTGTTCAACTGGTAGTAATTATTACTTCTATTGCCTTGTATCATTTCTCCCTTTTGCTACTTGACCCTAACTTCATTGTTTCTTTCAGCATTAATTTTGGATTGATAGTTAACACCAAGAAGGGGCAGTCTGATGATGATCAGGGAAGAACTCCAGAATGGCTCATAAGACACATATGGAAAACACTGTCTAGTGTCATTTTTGCCTTGAGTGATTTCTGACCTGTCTGAATTACGGGCAATCTATTTGCATATCATCTTCCACAAGTCTCATCTGGTCATATTCTCTACCTTCCATATGCTTTGAATATCCTCTTGCTTTTCTCATTTTACTGTATAGAAAGAAATTTTACTAGATATTCTCAGATGCGTTGAATAATTCTGCTGATAAGATTGAAAGGTCAGTCCATACCCCCTGCATCCAATAGAAATGGATTTCTAGCTGTCAACTCATAGTTTGCATCTGATCCTATGATTAACTCAGGGAGCTTCCCTAGCTAAAGTAACATGCCCTACAGTAAGTAGGTGTATTTGCAATGTACTCTTTTCTTATTATCTGTGTTTAGTGCCTGCTTTAGTGGAGCTGTCTTACAGGCGCAAGCACTCTACTCTGCTGTGTGTTAGACTCCCGTGTGTATAGATGACAACTTGCAGAGAGAATGGCTACCTACCTGGCCAGTGTTGTGGCTCACCATAAATGCTGCATGGATACATTCTTCAACCCCACCGTCTGTTCTCTTTATTGTAGCCTCTAGTAATACCTAGATGTTGAGGCATGACTAGCCTTGTTCTGGCCTGTGGGAACTTGGTGGGGAGAATATGTCTGTCAAAATGTGTCATATTGAACATTAAACTTGTACTTGAGTTACAATGTCTAAAGATGAGAGGAGTGAATCTGAACCATAAAGTGCAGATCTAGTGGACACTAGTGGGCAAAAAACCCCAAATGTCTCAATCCAAGTGGAATATCTACTGATGCTGCATTTTAAGGAGCCAATTATGGAAAGTGTTGTTTTTGTTGCCTAAGAGTATGTAATAAAATAGAATATTAAAATGAGTTTGTTTTTTTTAATGAGTTGTCATATGGTTATCAGCGATTGTAAAGTAGGGTTTTTGCAATTATTTAGTTCTAAAGGCTCCCCAAAATTGGCACCCAAAAAGAAAAATTTAGTTACAATATTGGGGTTCTCAGAAGATAATAATGACTTCTATTAAATCATGGTAATAGGACAGATAACTCAGTAGGTTAATGTATTCATTTGTGCAGACCAGGTTGTAGATTTGGCTCTGGGTCACAGGTGAAGATGAATTTTGTGGTTACTGCCAGGGGACATTTATCTGCATTACAGTTCTCTCTTACAATTTCACTTAATTATACTTTTCTGCTTTCAGAGAAGTGCAAGGTTGGAATGAGAAGGCAGAGATTACATATGCTATCTGTATGGGGGAAGTTACAGATACTGCCTTGCTATATCGACTTGTATATAGCTTTTTTGGTTCATGAGTTCTGTATTCTGTTTGCTAGGGGGCACACAGAAATAGCTTGGTATATGCACATGAGCATGCCCTTTTGTTTCTATTTCCGTTTCTCTCACAAAACTACACAAATGAGCATTGCTAAAGATACAATAATTAAAAAAAAAAAGAGAAAATTCTGACAAATGATGAAATTCACATTCTTAATCTTATACCTCTGCATTATAAAAGTTCTTAACTGGGCGATCTTATCCTGTTTTGTTTCACAGATGACTTACCTCAATATCTCTTTGAATCCTCTCATTTAGCCTTCACTTTCCTCTTAATTTTTTTCTTTTACTGCTGCAGAATTGGTGTCTGCTAGTATGCTGTTCTTTCTGCTAAATCAGGCAGAGAATCTGATGGCAAAGGACACAGAAAAGGCTGAGGTACTCAATGCTGCCTTTGCCTTGGTCTTTTCTGGTCAGACTGGCACTGAACTGTCCCAGGCCCTCGAGATGAATGGGAAAGTCTGGAGCAAGGCAGACTTTAGCCTTGGTGGAGGAGGATCAGATTAGGGAGCACTTAAACAAATTGGACAAACACAAGTCCATGGGACCCAATAAGATGTACCAACAAGTGCTGAGGGGACTGGCCAATGCCATTGTGAGGCCATGCTCAGTAACCTTGGAAAGGTCAGGACAACTGGGAGGAAGTTTGGACAAGGTTTGGAAGAAAGTAAATGCCATTGCTATCTGGAAGAAGGCGGCTCTGTGGAGCTACAGGCCGGTCAGCCTCATCTTGTTCCTTGGGATGGCAATGGAGTGAATAGTCTTTGAAACCATTTCCAAACATAAGAAGGACAAGAAATAGTTTTGGAGTAGTCAGCATGAATTTACAAAGGGGTATTCATGCTTGACGAACCTGATTGTCTTCCAGAATGACGTGACTAGCTCAGTGGACAGATAGAGAGCAGTGGATATTGTTTATCTCAACTTTGGCAAGGCTTTCAACAGCCTCCTGTAACATCCTCATAAACAAACTGATGAAGTACAGGGTAGATAAGAGGACTGAAATTAGGTTGAACTGCCAGGCTCAAAGGGTTATGGTCAGTGGCACAAAGTCCAGCTGGAGGCTGGTCGCCGGTGATGTACCTCAGGGGTCATTAGGCTGAATTTGTTTTTTAAGATTGTTCACTGGAGAAAAATTTATAGATCTCAGCAGATTTAATATTCTGATATGCTGTTGGTCCTTTAAATTTAATGATGTTAAGGTTAATAATCAAATTTATACTCAGATATGACATTTTTTATCATGTTAGCTTTAAATTAAGCATTTAAACAGGCTTTTTTCAGAGGAACAGTTAAAAGTGTCATAAGGAAAAACATCAGTCAAAGTATAGTAAATATTCATACAACCCAGCTGAAAGTCCCAAACATCCACATTTTTCTATTTTTGTTGTTATTTACTTAATATCACTAATTTTAAGAGAAGGATTTGTTCTTTTATTCTTGCTACAGTCCAGATCAGAGAGCAATTACCACTTTTTGCTTAACGTTTATGCGCCTGCATATTATCATCCAAACACTCTGCTTTGAATAAAGAATTAGCCCTGACTAGCAATATGTCTTGACTATGGAGCTGCTTTCAGCTCAAACTCATCTGTTGGGTGATCCATCCCTACTAAATAAATGAAGATCTATCCAGGCCACATTTCTTAGTCTTTCCTTTGATACGTAAGCTACTTAAAGTGAAATGTGACAGTAAGCCAAGCTTAAGTAACTGCAGTGCAGAGAGGTTTTAAATATATATCTTTATTACTTCCTTCTAAAGTTGAAGATAACTATGTCATTCATCAGAATGCTTCTCTTGCAAGAATTAAGATCTCAATAGCTTAGAGAGAACATTAGCAAGGAGTTTACTATCTCCACATCTTCTGCCCTTACTGCTGCTAAAAAATAAGTATGTTTTAAAAGCAGCTTGGCATATGTTTTGGGAGGGCAGCCTTGTAATATGTCTTATTGACTGTAAAATGGAAAGCAGTGTTGAAACTTGAGACCAAATGCTGTAAAACTGCAAAATGCAACTTTGCCTATTCTGCTGAGACCTTAATTATACATGAAATATAAGATTCAGTGCCCACTTAAGGCATTATATGGGCAATAGTAATGATAGGAAAGGAAGCATGAATTATTTGAATGTAATAAATTTTAAGTTTACCTTCTACCATTCCTTATCTTCATGTTTCTTTTCAACATTTCTCTCTGAAAGACTAACTACTAATAGTAAGAAAAAATAAGAGTCAGGAGAAACCCTTTAAAAGTTGCTAGAGTATTAGAATGCCATAATTCAAACCCTGTACTTCCTAAATAGAAAAAATTTTGCATGTTAGTGAATTAAATTGCCACCTGAGAAGCTGTATGTCTCTTCCTTATTATTTATGGTTCTTGCCATGGTGAAAAAGATAAATTATGTTTTGGGAAATAAGGAATTTTCTTGAATGTATCCCAGGAAGATCTTGAAAAGAGTAGGTAATTCTACATTTAATATAAAATTATATAATGATATGACAGCTAGTAAATTGAACAATATCTGAACAGTCAACCTAAATCTGAGATGTAAGAGCTGTATCCAGAGTAGATACATCTTCATTTTACTGGAAAATCTGCTTAGAATGGAAATTCTGCTCAAGATGAAAGAGAAGTGCTAATCCAGTGCCAATGCAGGTTTGTCTGAAAGTGTTATGCATAGTAACATCTCTCAAGATTCTTACTCTCAAGTAGGAAAGTTTTGGTTTTGATGCATTTTATTCACTTCACTGTAAGTGAGGTGGGTTTTTTTGTTGGTTTTATTTTTATTTTTTTTAATTTTGATATCAATTGAGCATGGCATCAGCAGTAAAAAGGTTGAGGAAGGAGAGATTTTAGTGTGAGAAGACATGGC